AATTGAATGACCTTTAGTTATGTATTTTTGTTTGTTTCTTATCTATAGCATTCCTCTTCCTCCCCTACATGCTTGAGAACGCCAAGAGTGCAGTAGGCCTGCAGTGCCAACTATACACTAGGCATTATGGCAGGGCTTAGTGAAATGATAATATCTAAGAGTCATGGTGGTTTTCCCCTTCATGGAGTTTATAGGTTAATGAGGAAGCAGATACTAATCTAATAATCACATAAGAATAAAACTGTAAGTATTATAGTATTATAAGGCTTTATAATTAGGATGTTTTACTATCTGGTAGGACTAGCTCCCCTCCCATAGTTTCTTCTTTGTTTTAATTTTCTATGTGAACTTTAATATCACCTTGTCTAACTCAATAAAAAAGTATGTTGGTCTTTTTATTGGGATTACATTAAATGTAGGTAGTTTAATATAATACATTAATTTAGGGGGAACTGACATCTTTATGATGTTGAGTCATCCTATTCAAGAAGAGGGATATCTTCCCATTTGTTCAAGGCCATTTTTATGTCTTTCACAGTGTTGTAAGATTTCTATCATACGGAATTTGCATATTTTTTGTTCAGTTTATTCCTCAGTATTTAATCTTTGTTGATAAAATACATGGGGTTTTCCTCTACCATTACCATCTCTAACTCATTACTGTTTGTGTATATGAAGGCTAGTGGTTCTTGTACATTAGTTTTATATCTTTCTACCTTACTGTATTTTTAAAATATTTGATTTTACCATTGATTCCCTAGTAGTCTTCTATTATATTGTCATATCACTGAAAATGGAGATAGTTTTATTTCCTTACCAATTTTTTTTTAAAGTTTGTTTGTTTAGGGAGTGAGCAAGTGCAGAGAAGGGGCAGAGAGAGGAAGAGAGAGAGAATCCCAAGCAGGCTCCATACTGTCAGTGCAGAGCCTGATGGCAGGGCTTGAACCCACGAACCAGGAAATAATGACTGAGCTGAAGTAGGACACTCAACCGACTGAGCTAACAAGGCACCCCTCCTTACCACTTTTTATTCTCTACTTCAAGGATTGGCAAACTTCAAAGTATAAGATAGTAAATTACCTAGGCTTTGAGGACATACAGTCTCACCTACCAACCCATAAACAATAAATAAATGGATGTGGATGTGTTCTAATAAAACTTTATTTACAAAAACAGCAGATTTGGATTTGGCCACTGAGCCATAGTTTGCCAACCTTTGATCTAGTTGATTTATCTAATTGTAATGGCTAACTGTAATGTACCTCTAGTACAGTGTCGAACAGTAGCAGAGATAGTGGGTATTCTTGTCTTGTTTCTGATTTTAGTGGAAATGCCCTCAGTGATTTCCCATTAAATAAGATACTAGTATTAGGACTAAGTTATATATATCAAGAATATATCCTTCAATTCCTATTTTCTTGAGGATTTTTTTCTGTCATTTTCAGTGCCTTTTATTAAATTTTAATTTGAATTTATTCCCATTGGAATGCCTTGTAATTTATTTTTCATTTCTAAGATATTTTGCTTCCTTTTGTTTCTTGAATGCACTGAGCTTCCTCTTCCCTGCCTCTCCTCTTAGTTTTCATCTAATTCAGAGTGGGTTTCCAGAGTGCTTGAAGTGTTGTACAGTTTTCTTGTACTTCATGCCTGTTTTAGGGGAGAGAATTTTTCTCAACTGATGTATGTTGGTCTACATTTTTCTGCTTCTTTGCAGTATAACTCTATAGAACTCTTCATCTTTTTCCTGTTTATTTTTGTATTGGAATGTATTTTGTGAGATTCTGGTTCATTGGAGCCCTTTGTATAGCTAAGTCTGACACTTGTTTTTGTGGGGTAGATACATAGACCAATGGAACGGAATGGCAAATCCAGAAATAAATCTTCACACGTATGGTCAATTGATTTTGACAAAGGATTAAAGGCAATTAGATTTTCATATACAAAATAATGAACTTTAACCCTTATATGAGACATAAAAATTAACTCAAAATGGACTTGAATGTAAAGCTAAAATTATAAAACTTCCAGGAGAAAACTTAAGAGAAAATTTTTGTGATTTTCGTTTAGAAAAAGATTTCTTATATATAAAAGTACAATCAATAAAAGAAAAACTAAATTGTGCTTTACCAAAATTTGAAACTTTTGCACTTCAAAAGACACTGTTAGGAAAATGAGAGGGCAAGCCATAGACTGGGAGAAAATATTTGCAAATCATATTATGTGATAAAGGACTTCAAATTGAGGAATATATAAAGAGGTCTTATAATTCAATAATAAGAGAACTTATTTAAAAAATGGACAACGTTTTGCATAAATATTTCACCAAAGATAAGCTAATGGCTAATAATCACATAAAAATGCTCAACATCACTAGTCATTAAGGAAATGCAAATTAAAATCATAATAAGACACTATACCCGGTAGAATGGTTATAATAAAAAAGACTGACAATACCAACCACAGGTGAGGATATGGAGAAACTGAAACCCTTGTATGTTGCTGACGGGTATGTAAAATGTTAGTCACTTTGGAAAAACAATTTGGTAGTTTCTAAAAACTAACAAGATAAATATAAACTGAGAGCATGATCTATCAATTCCACTCCTAGATATCTACCCAAGAGAAATGAAAACGTATGTTCCCTCGAAGACTTATGTGAATATTTATATCAACATTATTCATGTAGCCGAAAGCTACAAGTAATTAAAATATCCAGAAGCTGGTGAGTGGATAAACAAAATATGGTATATCCATACAACGGAATACTATTTAGAAATTAAAAAGGAATAAACTAGACACTACAACATGTATGAACCTCAGAAACCATAATGCTAAGTGAAGGAAGGCTGACACAAAAAAAGACAACATATCGTATGAATTAATTTATATTAAGTTTCCAGATTGTATGATATCATTTTTATGAAATTCCTCTAGAGGCAGGAAGCAGACACATGACTGGCTCAGGCTGGAGGTAGGAGTGGGAACGGACTGTAAATTATTGGCATAAGGGAACTTTGTGGCAGTGGAAATGTTCTAAAACTACACTGTAGTGGTAGTTGCACAACTTTATACATTCAAACATATTTGAATTGTATACTTACAAGGAGTGAATTTTGTGGTACATGTAAATTATACGCCAGTAATATTGTTTTTAAAAAAGTAAAGAAGTAGGACTGCCAGGTAGTTGAAGATAATAATGGCTGATTTCCTTTCCACCTCTCAGTACTTCCTCTATAAACAGTATAGAACATAATAAGGAAGAAACAAACTGCATGAAAGCCACAGCTTCAGCATGACTTGACAGAGAACTTCCAAACAATTGTAAATAAAATGGAAAAAACGCCAAATGCTAGTGCATGATCTCCAATTCCTGGTGTTCTTAGCATGAACTACACCATGCAACTTGAAGGGATAGTTTTTTTTAAATGCACAGCTTCTGGGGTGGGGTGATGAGTGGGTGAAAAAGGTAGAAAGGGAGAAGCACCTTATGGCAGTTGGGTGTGAAGGAAGAAAGAAGCAAAAGGGGAAAATTTAGGATCCTGCAATATAAAAGGGAGCCAAAAAAATTAAGAGGCCATACAACTCTATCAGGAATGTGTAAAGAGCTTAATTAGACGGTCTTATTCCAGGATCTTCTGGTTAAGTTTTTGGCTAGTCTCCCATTCTGTCACTTGACCTAAGCAGGCTAGTAGAACTGTGGCTTTCCCTATTCATTTCCTATCAAATTTGTTACTTTTGCTGACAGTTAGTTTGTTATTTTTATCGATAATAGTGCTGGACAAGGGTTTTTCCATTCAAAAGCTCCACATCATGTCAACTAGCTGGTTTTTCACAGCCGGTACTACCCTAGAACTAACTACAAGGCTGAACTAGCTTGGGAGTGGTGAAAGGATGGGAGCAGCCCCAGAACATCAGATTTCCCCTTCATTACTAGAAGTTCAGCATTATTTCATGAATAAATGCTTATCAAATTGTTGTTTGCCCTTTTTGATTTCAGAGCCCTGAAATCATAGTTTTTGTCCAGTTTTAAAACTGCTTCCTGGGGATAGGATTTATTCACCTCTAAACTTTGCCATACCTGGAAATTCTCCTTTATTTACTATTAACCAAACTATGTAGTTTGAGGCATTTTTCTCAAGGATGTTTTACGTATGCATGTATAATTGATAGGAAATATGGAATATATTGAAATATATATGAAAAATATGGCCTCTTCACAGTAATTGCATATAGTTGGGATCCTTACGAGCAGGTATATAAGCTACCGAATAGGGGCCAAATCCTGCCCACTGCCTATTTTTGTAAATAAAGTTTTACTGTAACACAGCCACTCTCATTTATTTATGTAGTAGTATCTATGGCTGCTTTCATACTAAGATGGCATAGTTGAGTGTTGTGATAAAATCTGTATGATCCACAAAGCCTAATATCTGGTGCTTTACACAAAAAGTTTGCTGACATTTGCTTCAAAGCATTATCATAATTAACATAGCTACCATTATAAATAATAATACTTTGTCTAGTATATTTACTTCACATTTATCCTTTATTTTCTCAATAACCCAATATAATCAGCTACATACATGAGTTATCAATTATCAGATTCCAAAAACTAATGGTAACCTTCATAAGTATGATCATATAAATTATAATACAAACTGAATATACTAAAAATTAACATTTTAATCTAATAATCTCACAATCCTAACATTTAACAACAGAGTAAGACTAGAATTTAGTATCTTATAGTAATTTCATGTTCATGTTGGTTTGCAATAACATTCATTCTAACAATACTCTGTTTACACTCAATTACATCATAAATGCTGTTGCATGAACAAACTACTATAAAGTCGTTGCCATGAGAAAATGCACATTTTGTTCTTTGATATTTTGAAATCTCCTTGCTTAACTATTAGTTTGCATTTAAAAAGGGAATATTTAAATTGTTTAATACTAAATACTTTGTGGAGCACTTTACTCAGTTCAACATATCTTACCTGTTAGAAGAGACATTCCGTGTTCTTTGTTGAATATGTTTATGGACTGAACAAAAGGGAGGGAGGTCATCTGGAAATGTGTCTTCTCCTTGAGGAGCTAAAGATAGGCCAACAAAAGCTTCATTTAGCGTATCTCCTCTGTCCAAAGGCCCCAGGAGTTCTGTTAAAAAATGATCAAGATATAAGTTAAGATCCAATAAAATTTCTGATAACTCCTTCATAAGTATGCTTACAGGAAAATCTTTCACATAGCCCAACGAAACTTAAAAATTTGTCAATTAACTATATAATGCACAGTGGAAATCTTGTAGTCATAGTCCCTCTATGACTTCTGTCATTCTTACACTTAGCTCAACCCAGGGGAATTTGGTAACTGAGTAATTAATGTTTCTGAGTTTAGATTTTAAAAATTCACTTGTAACTTCATTCATAGTGTTTTTAGCCAGCATTTTATTAATCAAATATTTTTGTTGTGAACAAATTACTGGAATATTTTATTATATTGGAAAGTTGTGAGAGGTGAATTATTTTACACTCCATATGTTGAACATAATTTGAAAGCAATAAAGGAAAGTATCTTTCTTTTCTAATATTTACTCTTAATTACAATTTTAAAGCGTACAGAGAGTTTGTTATTCCCACATCATACAGATGAAGAAAGCAAACTTTAATATTGGCAACTTTGACAGGGCATTGTTTAGAAAAATTGTGAAACATGACGAAGTTGTGAAAAATATATCTGAAAAACATAAATCTGATTAAAAGCCAAAAACTCTTAGGACTGCACCCTGTGCATGTGTGTATTTTCTTTTTCTTTCTTTCTTTCTTTCTTTCTTTCTTTCTTTCTTTCTTTCTTTCTTTCTCTTTCCTTCCTTCCTTTCGTTTTTTTTTTTTTTTTTTTTTTTTTTTTTTTTTTTTTTTTGAGAGAGAGAGCATGAACCAGGGAGGGGCAGAGAGAGAAGGAGACAGAGAATCCTAAGCTGACTCCACACCGTCAGTGCACAGAGCCCAACGTGGGGCTCAGACTCATGAAACCATGACCTGAGCTGAAATCAAGGGTTGGATGCTTAACCAACTAAGCCACCCAGGTGTTCCAACCATGGTAACCATTTTTTAAGTGTGCAGTTCAATAGTATTAAGTATATTCACCTCATTGTGCAACAGATCTCCAAAATATTTCTGCTTTCAAAACTGACACTGTACACCCATTAAAAAACTCCCTATTTATTTCCTATTTCCCTTCTTCTAGGCCCTGGTAACCACCATTTTACTTTTTGTTTCTATAAATCTGACTACTTTAGTACTTCATTTAAGTGGTATCATACAGTATTTGTATTTATGTGACTGGCATATTCTCCTTAGCATAATGTCCTCATGGCTCATCCATGTGGTAGGATTTCCTTCCTTTCTTAACAATTTAAAAAAAAATTTTTTTGAAGGGGGAAGGGTGGGGAGAGAGACAGAATCTTAAGCAGGCTCCATTTCCAGCCTAGACCCCCATGTGCCAGGCTCAATTTGACGACCATGAGATGATTACCTGAACAGAAATCAATAGTTGGACACTTAACTCACTGAGCCATTCAGGCATCCCCAGGATTTCCTTCCTTTTTAAGGCTGAATAATATCCCACTGTGCATGTGTGTGTGTACACAGAACCACATTTGGTTTATACATTTGATTGTCCATGGAGATTTGGGTTGCTTCCAGCTTTTGGCTACTGTGAATAATTCTTCTATGAAGATGGGCGTGCAGATATCTTTTTGATACTCTGATTACAATTCCTTTGGATATGTACCTATAAGTGGAGTTGCTGGATCATAGGTAAGGTATATTTTTAAAAAATTTTTAATGAACTGCCATGTTTTTTTGTTGTGGTGGCAACATTTTACAATCCCACCAAGAGCACTCCACAATTTTTCCAGTTTTGCCAACACTTGTTATTTTCCTTTCTTTTTTTTATTATAGCCATCCTAATGGGTGTGAGGTGCTCACATATAACTCACATATAACTATATCTCATTATAGTTTTGCTTTTGTGTCCATAATTATCAGTGATGTCGAACATATTTTCATGTGCCTATTGGCCATTTGATTTTCTTTGTTGGAGAAATATCTATTCAAGTCCCTTTGTCCATTTTTGAATCAGATTGTTTGATTTTGTTGTTGAGTTTTAGGAGTACTTTATCTTTCTGGATATTAAACCCTTACTACATATATACTACTAAATAGAATATATGATTTTCAAATATTCTCTCCTATGGGTTGCCCTTTTCATTCTGTTGATAGTGTCCTTTGATGAATAAAAGTTTTAAATTTTGATGCAGTCCAGTTTATTTTTGTTGCCTACTTTGGTATCCTACCAGGAAACCACTGCCAAATCCAATGTCATGAAGCTTTCTCTTTGTTTTATCTCTGTAAGTTGGGTAGTTTAGGTCTTACAATTAGGCCTTTGGTCCACTTTGAGTTAATTTTCATAGATGGTGAAAGTTAAGGTTCCAAATTCATTTTTTTTACAATGTTTATTCATTTATTTTGAGAGAGAGAGAAAGCATGAGCAGGAAAGGGACAGAGAGAGAGGGAGAGGGAGAATCCCAAACAGGCTCCATGCTGTCAGCACAGAGCCCCACACGGGGCTCAGTCCATTAACTGTGAGATTGTGACTTGAGCCAAAATCAGGAGTTGGACACTTAACTTACTGAACCACCCTGGTGCTCCCCAACTTCATTTCTTTTTAATATGGATATCTAGTTTTCCAAGCACCACTTGTTGAAAAGACTGTCCTTTCCTGCACTGGACTGGGTACCCTTGTTGAAAATCACTTGACCATATATGTAAGGGTTTATTTCTGGGATCTCTTTTATTCCATCAGTCTATATGTCTGCTGTTATGCCAGTACTATTTATTGTTTTGGTTACAGTAGCTTTGTAGTAAGTTTTGACATGAGGAACTGTGAGTCCTTCAGCTTTATTCTTTCTCAAGATTATTTCGGTTCTTTAGGGTCCATTGAGATTCCATATGAATTTTAGGATAGGTTTTTCTGTTTCTGCAAAATATGTCATTGGGATTTTGAGAAGGATTGTACTGAATCTTTAGATTCCTTTGGGATCTAAGGACATTTTAACAGTAAATCTAACAACTCATGAACAAGGAATGCTTTTTCACTTTTTACTGTCTTCTTCATTTTCTTTCAGTAGTGTTTTCTTCTTTTCAGTGTATAGGTGTTTCACCTCCTTAGGTTTATTCCTAAGAATTTAATTTTTCTTGATTGGATTTGTTTTTAAAATTTTTCTTTATAAATTGTTCATTTTTTAAAAATTAAAAGTTTTTATTTAAATCCCAGTTAGTTAATATACAGTATAATATAGTTTCAGGTGTACAATACAGCGATTCAACACTTTCATACAACACCTGGGGCTTATCACATCAAGTGCACTCCTTAATCCCCATCACCTATGTTACCCATCCCTCCCCACCAATTCCCTCCGGTAGCCTATAGTTCTTTATAGTTAAGGGTCTTTTTCTGATTTGGATGCTTCTATTTATTTTATTTTTTAAAGGTTTCTTTATTCTGGGGAGAGAGAGAGTGAGCTTGTGTGCAAGTATGTGTGAGCAGGGGAGGAGCAGAGAGAGAGAGGGAGACAGAGGATCCAAAGCCAGATCTGCACTGACAGCAGAGAGCCTGGTGTGGGGCTTGAACTCACAAACTGTGAGATCATGACAGGAGTTGAAGTCAAACACTTAACTAATTGAGCCACCCCTATTTATTTTATTTCCTAATTGCTCTGGCTGGGATTTCCAGCACCATATTGAAAAGAAATAGAGAAAGAGAGCATCCTTGTCTTGTTCATGATTGTAGAGGAAAAGCTTTCAACTTTTCACTTTTAACTATGATATTAGTGGTGGGCTTTTAATAATTTTAATATGAGTCTTTTTAATGTCAAGATACTTTCCTTTTCTATTTAGTTTATTGAGTTTTTATTATGAGAGGGTATTTCAGTCCTTCATTCTGTTATTGTGGAATATTACATTAATTTACTTTTGTAGGTTGAACTGTCCTTGCATTCCAGAAATAAATTAGTTGGAGTATAATGTTTTAAATACGCTGCTGAATTTGGTTTAGTAGTATTTTGTTAAGAATTTGCATCAGCATTCATCAGAAATATTGGTATATTCTGTCATTTAATGTTTTTGCCTGGCTTTGGTTATTAGGGTGCTAGAAAGTCGGGGAGGGACATTAAAGTATCCCCCAAATTGAGAAAGCACTTTGAGACAGGAATATGAAGGTGGTGATTCCATACAGTATACACAGTTTTTTTCATGGTAACTTATTGATGGGGCAATCAGGTGGGGGAGATCCATGGCAACTACATAGTTATTCTCCAGAAAATCCAGACCTTTGTCCACAGATTTTATTAGAGCTAGGGGACACAAAGAAGGATAGTGTAATGAGATCAGAGGGTTAACATGTACCTCAAAGGGTTTGCATGTACCTAAATGACATCTAACCTTTTATTAGATCTTGTGGCACCACCTGTGCATCATGAGGGGGAAAGGCTGTGTTATGGCTAACAGATTCACAGGAGGCTAAAACATGCCTTCCACCTCATCCTAGCCTTGGCAGCCTAAGGCATGTATATTAATCTCCAAGGGGCCTGGAACACAAAACCCCAAAAGAGAGGTCATCAAACGAATATGAACAAGATGGTAGGGTCAAAGATGGAATTAGTATTGTCAGCACTCCTACATAGAATAATGATGGCTTCATAAAACGAGTATGGGCTGTTGTTTCCTCTTCAGTTTTTTTGTGAATGTGTAGTGGACTTTCCAGTGAAGCTGTCACTGGACTTTTCTTTTTGATTTATCCATTTCTAGGATTTATCCATTTCTTCTAGGTTTTACAATTTGTTGGCATGTAGTTGTTCATAGTAGTTTTAGAATCCTTTTTATTTCTGTGGTATTGGTTGTAATAGCCCTCCTTCTGATATTTATTTTTGAGTTTTCTCTTTTTGTTCTTAATCTAGCCAATGGTTCCTCAATTTTTGTTGAAGTTTTTTAAAAAAGCTTTTAGTTTCCTTGATCTTTTCTATTTTTCTGGCCTCCATTTATTTCAACTTTGATGTTTGTTATTTCCTTCCTTTGGCTAACTTGGGGCTTAGTTCT